AACCCGTTTTATCGTTTGGGTGGAAACCCACAAGGGAACAGTTTGAGGCTTTCCCCCAGTCTGTGTGAGCACCAATTGTTTCAAATCAAAATGCAGACGTACGCCCACCGTCATTGCCCAAGGCAATCCCAACAATACAGAGTAGGAACGTACATCTCTTACAAGTGCGTTAACAAGGACGTGTACTTGTCCCACTTTTACAGATACGTTCTCGATAACGCCTACGATGTTCATTACTTCCTCGTCGGTAGAGACATAGTTGTCTTTGTCAGATTGAGGAAAAATAGATCCAAGTCGTCCTGTCTTTTTAACAGTCTCCAATGATATGGCCACTGCAGAAGACCTTGTGTCGATTAGGGCATTAAACGGCTTACCCCAAACTTCACGGTCACATTCCGCGCTTTTCCATTGTACCGGTCGAGCTCGTACAAAGTGATCCTTTTCTGCTAAAGAGATCGCTGCTATACGTGCGGCTTCGGGTTCAGGTTCTTTTGTGTCTGGCTCGAGGGGTGCAACCTCCTCACCTTCTTCCTTCTTCTTCAACATCCGTTGTACGCGCTGATAGGTGAAGCGCTTTTGATTTTTCTGACAATGTTGTAACAGTTTATCGTTCGCTGTTCCAGATATCGTGAGCAGATGTCCCACTGGGATGGGCACGCGAATGTCTAGTTGCTTGAGCATTTTCAGTACATCAATATCCCCTGTCCGAAACTGTGGTCCAGGATTGGACTCGCGATCGACCCATTCGAGATCATCTTGGGCCGATCGGATTGCTCCGATCATTCCGGCAAGATGTAGATACTCGAGGGGATCGACCACGTCAGCAGCGTCAGAGGAAGAGGCTCGTGATGTCGACGCCATTGTCGTCGAAGGGGAAGGCTGTTCTGGAGCATATCCTACGACCTCTCCTCCGTGGTCCGTGTCCATCAGAGCGGCCACTTGTCCTTGATTAAGGGCAACTGGGGTCGCAGCAAGGGGAGGCTGATTACGTTTTGGCTGCGGACAGTCTCGGGCGAAATGCCCGGGCTGTTTGCAGTTGAAACACTCGATCTTTCCTGTCGGATTAGCTAGAAGGGGAAACTGAGGGCGAATCCTTGAGCAGGTGGAGCAGGTAAGAGCGGAAACGATGCAGGGGTAGGTCGGGCCGGAGTCGGGTTAGGCTTAATGAGCCGGCTCATTATCTGCTCCATCCGTTCCATGTGAGCCGCCTGCATTTGGATCAGGTTACTCATCCATTCGGACTGCTTAGTAGTGGCCGTATGGATCATCTAGGCAAGATGCAAATTGGTTATGGCTGGCGAGGGGGGTTCGGATGGGGTTCCGCTTCTAACGGCTGCGATTGGTTGAATCACCGGGGGAGAGGGAGAAGAAGCAGCCGGGATATAAGAGACGATTCCGCTGGGAAGGTCATGATCGGGGCGGGGATAAAACCGTTCGACCGCCTGTAGCCAAGATCACCTCTTGGCCGTTACATCCCGTATGGTATCTGTAATATCCTCGTCTCCCTGGCTGATATATTTTTTTGTACCAGCCAAGTCTAGCTCCAACGCTTTAGTGATGATAACCGACAACTGGGTTGTTTTTGGTGGAACCTTTTTTTGCAGTTTCCCTTTCAAGGTCGGACTTCGAAGGTGATCAATAAACAAGTCTCGAGCGAAATTCTCGTCTCGCCTGGATTTATCCAATGTGGTTTGAAATCGATCAACGAAATCGGGTAACAGTTCCCCTGGTCCTTGGGGTCGATTTTTGAGCACGTACCAGCGGCATCTTCACTAACCGTATCGAATTGAGCCAAGAATGCACGCTTAAAAGTCTCCCAATCTACCCATGTATGCTTTCTGAACCAGTCGTACGAGGTATTGCGGAGTAGCAATGTCAGAACACGGGGGAAATCGGTTGCGCTGTAGTTTTGAGCTTCGTCAGCTTCCAGCCAAGCCTCGAGATGGGTATGGTTTAGGAAGAAGGGGAAGGGGGTAGGGATGCTAACGATCACCCTAGTACCGTCCACCATTGGTATTGCTAGCACAGCCGCACTAGACTGAGACCTGGTTACGGGGCGATCTCGACGAGCTAGTTGAGGGTCTCACCTACCTCTCGCCAGTTCGACTTGCTATCATCAGAACCGACACGTGTCGACTCCGATACCAACCTCACGCCCTGTGCTGTCTTCCATTCGAAGTGTTAGTCATGTGGAAAGAGGCCCAGAAAAACAACAAGATGGGGTGTGCCAAGGATTTTTGAAAATTGAGTGTGGGGACACAGACGAAACTGAAATCCGCCGTGTTGGTCCGATGAAGCAAGTTGTTTAGTTTCGCGCGTCGCGGAATGCGCATCGCGGAATGCGCATGCGGACGTGGCGCGAAAACAGAAAGACCCAAATTCAATCCAAAAAATACTGTCGGGCTTCCCACCAAGCTACCGCCCGTCGTTTGGAGCAAAAAGGTTTTGGCACGCTTCATGTGTCTCGTTTCCGTATCAAATCTCGTCGTCGCTCGCTGGTTAGTTCCGAGTCCGACGTGGATGGTCTCAGCCGTGTGACTCTCTTTACGCTCGTTTTCACTCCGCACACGGTAGTGGAAACCCCTGGACTCGTAGCGCTTAAAACGGTGACATTCGGTGCACAGAGTGCGCGGCCAGTGGGGTTCTACTGCCGTCCACGGAATGACGATCAACTCGTTAAATGGCAACAATACCGAGTAAGGTGGGAAGTGCGTATCGATAATAACAAAGCCCGAATCTACGAATCCAGAACAACGATTTTCGGGAGGGAAGTAATACTGTCCGTCGATTCGTGCAGCGACTTCTCGTACGTCCCACTCGCATACACGTGTCCTTTCCTCACTGTAAGAAAAAGGTCGCGTTGGGACGGGAGATACGGGAGGCTGGCGCCCAGTCGAAGGATGCTTGTCAGTCCACATATCCATTAATCACAAATATCCCGAGACGTCATTAAAAACAGAAATCATTCGCGCAACACTCAATCAATCCTTCTTGACATGAGAGAGAGGGAGAGAGAGAGA